TTATGATATCAAATATCACTGCATACTTGTCTCATATGTACCATTAAGTTTCAAGTCAAAACTTGACAACTTAACCCAAGATAAACCATATTCAAGCTGTAGGAACCACGATTTCCTACCCTGCCTCACAAAGATAATCCGGTACGCTCAGCTTTGGCATGACCCGTGTTACGGATGATCGATGCCTTGACAGGCGCTCTAGTAATGGGAGATACACACTTAGCATTACATAAATATGGGATTTTCGAAACCACACTTAGATCAAGCATCTACTTTCAAGCTATGAGAACCACCATTTCTCCATCTTGCCTCACCAAGATAATACGGCACACCCAACTTTGGCATGGCCCATGACACGTACGATCGAGGCCTTGACAAGTGCTTTACTTATAGAGCTTCTAGATCTAACCGGATTCTGTGCAACGATTGTACATATCAAGGATCAACAATTATTCTTTGATCAGATGTATTACATAATCCGAATAGACTATCCATTCGATTATGTAATCCCAATCTCGAAACTCCCACTCAATCAAGCATATCCTATATCTTGATTAAGTTACATGCATTCATTCACTATGGACCATCCATAAGAATAAATCATGTCTATTTGAGTCACAGTTGATCAGATTAAGCAACGATTGCACAATCGGATCAGAAAACGAAAAATCTCGGGGTCTGGGTCACGGACCGTCCGTTCTGCAGACCGGACGGTCCAGTCTTGGCAGAACGGATAGTCTGAGGTGACCGGAACGGAGGTCCATGACATCAGAACGGACGGTCCGTTCTCAGCCACAGAACGGACGTTCCAGACCCTTCGGTCTCATCTCAGTCCGCCACCCCTGGACCGTCCGGTCTGGCTTACCCAGAACGGACGGTCTAGGGTTTGGTCACGTGATCAGATCACGTTTTTCACGTTCTCGGCCCCGTTCAGACCCGAAACCGATCTGAATTCGTCTGTTGACCCAAAATTCGAACTCCTGCACTCTATGCAACATGAAACATGCAATCTACCATAGATTCAATCATCAAATATGCATAGAATTCAAAGCAAACATGGATTCAAACAATTCAAATCCTAAAACGTGCGTGATCGGGTTCTACGAAATAAAAAACAGAGAAACCAGGCTCTGATACCACTGAAGGGTTTCCTGGGATCTCTAGAGCGAATCCTATTCCTAAGAGATCGATTCTAGGGTTTGCGCAGCGGATGTAAAACAAAAATTTTATAGAACCCTAGAACCATGCTGCTATTGAATCGTAGAAACGTTAGAACGCTTACCTCAATCGATCCGGGGCCTGTATCAATCGACGGGTTCGTTCCGATCACTTAAGGGGAGGAAATTACCTCGCCCTCTACACGTATCCACACTTCGGGCTGGATTCCAACGCTTGGAACTTGTCTGCTAGGACACGAATCTGCTATTCGTTTTTATGCTTCGAGAAAACGAGACTCTTCGGTTTTTGAACTCTTTGGATCTCACCCAAAAGCTCTCTCAAACCTCTGAAAGTCGGCACCAAAAGGTCTCTTACGAATTAGGGTTTTAATCTCTTTCTTATAAAGTGATTTAACCCTAATTTTGGTTTAATTTTCGGAAAACCGGAACCTAGAACGGACGGTCTGGAATTGCACGTGGACCGTCCGTTCCAGTAAGGCAGAACGGACGGTCTACGTTTATTGCGGACCGTCCGGTCTATCACATAGAACGGACGGTCTGCGTGTTGTCATGGACCGTCCGTTCCACTCCTCAGAACGGACGGACCACGCGTCCGGACCGTCGGGTCTGGACCCTTCCGACTCGGTTTTCCGTCGTTTTCTTTCGTGCATTTGTCCTTCCCTGCGTGTGTGATCCTGTAGGCTCATTCGATATAGTAGTATAATCCGAAATCTCTATTTCGGATATACAAGTCATAGGCGGTCTCTAGCAAGACACTATGACTACCTATCTCGAATAGAGTTTGTTCATGATCTTACGAACGCCAGAGATGATTCCGGTTGATGATCCTTTTGTATCGCGATATCATATATCGAACATAAGGCATGGACAAGCCACCTTATCTGATTCGACTGCTTTCTCGTTCACTGAGTTCGACTGTCTGAAATAGACGACGTTCGTCTATAGTGCGGCCACACATTTCTACAGTCTCGCTCACACGAGGGGCCAGCGATATCTCTCTCTTTTACGAGAGGTACAAATCCCGTCTTGACTATCTACAATCCAGTACATGATTCGTTTCGTGCCTGATACACGCCTTTATAATCCTCCTATTACGCAGGACGTTTGACGCATTCAAAGCACAAAACTCCTCATGTTGGATTCCGTAGATATCTCAGGTCTAAGGATCCAATCATGGAACCGCCATATGAGATTCAAGTCATGACGCTAGTCCATGTGACAATCTCACGCGGGTCAATCCAGTATTCCGTTCTCCAACGAATACCTATGACTGTGATCGTATCCAATACCTATGATCATCTCTATAATCATCAATCACACATCATACTAGTCTTATTATGTCATCATTCCCATAATGACACAAGACTAGGGAGTTTAGTATCATTCATAATGATACATGGATTTCATAACAGATCTAGTATGCAAGAACATGCAATGAATCAAATACTCTCATAAAACTATAGAAAGTATCAATACATCAAATGTATCTAAATAAAGCTCATAAACAGTACATCAGAGCACTAAACCAACACCCTTTTCAAAAGGTGACACAACAATGACGCAACCAAAAGCGTCACCATTCACACTGTCACCAATTCAAATTTCGTCACCAAGGGTCACCAAAAGGTGACGCAATAGTGACTCAAAATAGTGACGCAAAAAGGTGACGCAATTATTACGTCACTAAAATGTATTTTGGATTCAAATTTTTTTTTATCCCGAACCTAATCCCGACCTCTAACCTCCAACCGCAATCTTAAACCGAATCGAGAATTCTGAAATTGAAACCCCAAAATCCACTTTCCAAGAGGCCGTCCATCTTCCACCTCCCACTACTCCAGCTTAAGCACGCTTAACTTTAGAGTTTCAATTGACAAATAATCAACTCCTTTAAATTAAATTTCTGATACATTACAATATTAATACATATACAAATATTTATACTTATAAATATATATATACGTATATGTTTGTACGTATATACACATACATAAAATATATATGTTTATATATATAACATATGTGTACGTATAAATATTTATATATATATATATACACGATTATATATATATTTTTATATCGATATATATAAATATATAATATATATGTATATATAAAATACATATTGATGTATAAAATACTCGTATATTTGTATATAGACAAATATACATATATATACATAATATATATGGATACATAAAATATACATTTTATATATATATCCGTATATTTATACATATAAATACATATATATATATGATATATATATATATATATATAAAATTTATATTTATATATAAATGCTCGTATATTTGTACGTACAAATACATATATATATATATATACATATATATAAAATACACATTTATATATAAATATTCATATGTTTATACGTATAAATAATAAAATACAGATATAGTGACACGTTGCATCACGAAAAGGTGACTAAATTGCGTAACCAAAAGGTGATGCAACTATTTGCGTCACTTTTGGGTCACCTTTTTTCGTGACACAAATTTTGTGTCACTTTTTGCGTCACTATTTAGTGACACATTAGTGACGAAAATATTGTGTCACCATTTTAGTGAAGCAAATTTTGTATCACCTTTTACGTCATCTTTTCCATGTTTTCTAGTAGTTATATTGTGGAAGATTGATACCATTTACTCGCAACTTCTTTGGGATAATAACAATTCAGGGAATGCCACAACAAGAGTTGAAATAACATGTGTATGCCGAAGAAGGAAGGGGTTAGGCCTTAGAAGGTTCACGTACACAAATGTCGTTTTTAGGCTCAAGCAAATCTGGACAACATCCCACGCTCGACGAAACCATCTCTTATTTTGGCAGAAGGAGAAGCCAACATCCCACGTTCGACGAAAGGTCTTGGCAACTTTATGGACCACACTTCCTCGTTACTCGCTTATTGGTATTATCTAGAATCTTCTGAATATTTCTTTTCAGATTGTATCTCTTAACAGGGTTTTTGGATACCACTTACTATGGATTCTTCTGTTTAGAAAAACCGTTTTGTCATAGTAGTTACTGCTTATGTTTTTTCTCTAACCATTGTGACTACTGTTCCATTTATACCAAAAAAAAATGTTTTAACACTGCATTGGATTTCAGAAATTTATTTTTTCTAAACCTATATTAAAAAATATAAATTTTTATATGACTTGGAAATTAATTTTTACCAAATTTTCAGGTCATATGTTTGAAATAAAAAAATTGAAATTAATTTTTACGAAAATAATATTCTCGGACATGTTCATTTTGACCTCTTGTGAAGGAGAGGAGAAGAGAGGAGGAGAGGAGAGGGCGAAAAGGAAAAAAGCAAAGGAAGGGAATGAAATTAAATCCGATCTAATAGGCATTTGACGTCCGCAAGGACACTATTCTCTCTCCTCTCCCTCGCTCTCTCTCTCTAAGATACAGCGAAGAACATGACACAATACTCTGAAGAGTTGTTTATTTTCCTTCCTTTTTTTTGGTTTTATCGAGCTTGAAAAAAACCCTAGAGGAAGTTCGTTCTTGAGCTGCTACTGATATCCCCTTTCTGATTATTGGTCTGTGCGTCGGAGAAGAAGACGAGGAGTTTTGTTTTTTGTTTTGTTTGGGACAACGGAGCTGATTGCTCTGGAAAGTTATCTCCTTTTTCCTTGTGTGATTCTTGTGTGATTTGGGGTTCGATTCAAATGGTCGGAGATAATTTATAATCGGAGACATACTGTTCAATTTCAGCTCTGGTAAGTTGAATTTTCCATTTGGTTGCTGTTTCTTCACTGGTTTTCGACTTCTTTGTCACCGAGTCTTCGTCAATTAGGGTTTGATCGAGCTGCTTCCATTTGTTTCTGGGTCTTCTTCCCTATTGGCTTCGCTTCCTGCTTTTATTCCCAGAAATCCTTTGAATAATTGTTGAACTTTGTCTGGATTTCCTTTTGTTTTTGGGTTGTACATTTGATATCTTTCTGGGCATGTTGCTGGGTTTTGATTGAAGTAAATTTGTGTCGAATTCAGCGAATTGGATCTGAAAATTTGTTGTGTCGACAGAAACACGGAGTCTATCTCGCCCTTTGGAGACACTGCAAGCCTAGTATGTCCGAAAGGGAAGCTCGGCCTGCAGATTTGGCTCTTCCCTACGTCTTGTTTGTGTATTTGACGGCTTCAAAGCCTCTACCTGGCCTGGAAAATTCGCTTCTCAAGTTGATTGGCTCATTGATGCATCAAAGACATTGCATTTGGAATACCGGGCTGATATGATGCAAATTACTTCGGGCTCGTAACAGTGCAACATATCCGAGTTGTTCTTGATTCGTTATAGTTATTAGTCTAGGTAGTTGTGTACTGGTTGATTTTGAGCTAGAGATTCCGGGAGAATGGTTCCATCCGGGCCGCCCACTCCGGTAGGTGGTGGCCAGCCTGTTCCGCCTTCTCTTTTAAGGTCAAATTCTGGTGTGTTGGGAGGCCAAGGAGGTCAGCTTCCTTCCCAACCGACATTTGCTTCCGTTGTCTCCCCACGAACTCAGTTTGGCAATAACATCAACATGAGTTTGCTCGGGAATGCGCCAAACATGTCTTCTCTACTAAACAATCAATCCTTTGGAAATGATGTGCCAAGTTCTGTCATTTCTGGCCAGCGTGTGGGTATGGAGATGGGTGGGTGTGGGTCTGACCCATTGTCCAGTATGGTGACCACTGGCTCATCAGTTCAAGCTCAGGGTCATCAATTCTCAGACCCTTCATCCAACCAGTTTTTGTCAGATCAGCAACAGAATCAGCAAATGGAGCCTCAGAATTTCCAACATGGTCAACAGTCTATACAACAGCAGCAGTTTCCCGCAATACGTGGAGGAGGATTAGCTGGCGTTGGACCCGTTAAGCTGGAGCCTGGCCAGGTATCTGCAGACCAGCACGGGCAACTGCAACAGCAACAACAGCAGCTGTTGAGAAATCTCGGACCGGTTAAGTTGGAACAACAGCAACTTCAGGCTATGAGGAGTTTGGCCCAAGTGAAATTGGAACCACAACATACAGAGCAGTCACTGTTTCTCCAGCAGCAGCAGCACCGGCAGCAACAGCAACAGCAACAACAGCAGTTTCTTCAATTGTCGGGCCAATCTCCTCGGGCTCAAATGAATCTGTTTCATCAGCAGAGGCTTATGCAACTTCAACAACAACAGCAGCAACTCTTGAAAGCAATGCCTCAACAACGACCTCAATTACCGCAGCAGTTTCAACAGCAGAGTTTGCCTTTGAGGCCACTTGTGAAACCTGTCTACGAGCCTGGTATGGGTGCCCAACGTCTTACTCAATACATGTATCGGCAACAACATAGGCCTGAAGTAAGCTTCTTAGCATTAGAAACCTTATTCATCCCAGTTTTTGTTTTTACAAAATTGACATCTTGTCTTCTGTTATATGCAGGACAATAATATCGAGTTCTGGAGAAAATTTGTAGCTGAGTACTTTGCTCCCAATGCCAAAAAGAGATGGTGTGTTTCTATGTATGGTAGTGGCCGGCAAACAACTGGAGTTTTTTCTCAGGTTTGCTACTCAAGGGAATTTACTTCAGTCTTGTATGATTGTAGAAGAGCTTGTTTTTTCCCTCTAGTTATGGTAACTGAGGCATTGTCTTTACTTATTTCATTGCAGGACGGGTGGCATTGTGAGATATGTAATCGGAAACCTGGGCGTGGTTTTGGTATGTTTCCAGATGACTTTTGCTCTCTCTTTTTACATTTTTCATTTTCATGAAGTTTACATGGCTCGTTCTCTCAGCTTACCGAAAACTCTTTGGCTGCTTTACTTCATTCATTTTTTTAGAGGCCACTGTGGAAGTCCTCCCCCGGCTGTTTGAAATAAAATATGAGAGTGGCACATTGGAGGAACTTTTATATGTTGATATGCCGAGGGAATCACAAAATTCGTCTGGTCAAATTGTATTGGAGTACGCTAAAGCAACGCAAGAGAGTGTCTTTGAGCATCTTCGTGTTGTTCGTGACGGCCAACTTCGGATAGTTTTCTCTCCAGATCTTAAGGTTCTTCAAAAAGAAAAGAAAAAAACTCTTATGGGCATTAATTTTCTATCCTTGCCTCTTATTTTGTTTGTTCATTTTTAGATATGCTTGTGGGAATTTTGCGCTCGACGTCATGAAGAGCTTATCCCGCGAAGACTTTTGACACCACAGGTAACTTTATGAAATATTAATTCATCATGTAAGCCTTTTTTCATATTCTCCCTAGCCGGGATGTGTAGAATTTGCAAACATCTTTTTAATGGTTTTGTCTTTGAACGAGCTTACAATTCCAAAACGTGATATATTACAGGACTCTGCTCGCATAATTCCGAAATGATTTAGCTTTCCGCAAGCATATAATCAATTTTGAGTGTATTGACTATTGATGATAGGGACATAGTCTTTTATCCATCCTTTGTTAAGTGGTTTCTGGAGATTTGGGTAGGAGTGTGTATATGTAAATACAGCCTCTATATTTGTGACAATACTTTTGTATCAACCTCTTTTTGCGATTCACATTTGCAGGTTAGTCAACTGGGTTCTGCAGCTCAGAAATATCAACAAGCCACTCAAAATGCATCTTCAGATACTCTTCCAGAGCTACAAAGCAACTGCAACATGTAATGATTCGTCTCTTTTGCTGTTTGATTGCCACTGGAGTCATTGTGTCAAAGTAACATCTGAGGTATTGCTACTGTAACACAGGTTTGTAGCATCTGCAAGGCAATTGGCAAAAGCAATTGAAGTTCCATTGGTGAATGATTTGGGGTACACAAAGAGATACGTCCGATGTCTTCAGGTATATAACGATGCCCTGATATATCTCAAATGCCCCTTTCACACAATTTCATATGCTTTCAAAAGATTCAACCTTGGAAAACAACGAATTGAAATGATTAAACCATCCTTTGAAACACCTTGTCCTTGCTGCGATGTTTTATAATATGATATTTATGTTGTTCCATATTTTTATCATTTGAAGGTATGTGGCCGTATTTGTGTTGCATATTTTTTATGTGGATTCCGAAGTTAAACTCTTCCTTTTTTTGGCCGATGTGTTGATCTTTTGGAATCTTGTAGATATCAGAGGTGGTAAATAGTATGAAGGACTTGATAGACTATAGCAGAGAAACAGAAACAGGACCTATAGGTAAGCCTCTGTTGTCCCTGTCAATTGAAGAGGGTCAACTCATCTTCAACACACATCTTACGCATCATGAGTATTGTGTTGGGTTTTTTTGCAAGCCGTAAAATCATTTTACCGCGTTTATAATACAGTTTGAGTTCATATTATAAAATGAAAATCATTTTATGATTCCTGTATTATCTTGGCTGGTGATTTCGTTCCCTTTCAGTCAATGTCTCATGTTCTTTTCGCAGAGAGTTTAGCCAAGTTTCCTCGGAGAACAAGCTCCTCATCTGCACTTCCGGGACCGTCTCAGACACCCAGTGACCAGCTAAGGCAGCCACAGCCACAGCCGCAACAACAAGCAGTTGCGCAGAATGCTAACAGTAACCAGAGTTCAGGCCAAGGTGGAGCAATGCAGGTTAATCCCAACAATGGCGTGACAAGTGTAAATAATTCCTTCAATGCAGCCTCTGCTTCTGTTTCTACATCGACAAGCAGCATTGCAGGGCTTATACACCAGAATTCGATGAACTCAAGGCAGCAGAACTCTGCCAACAATCCAAACAGTCCCTATGGTGGAAATTCTCTTCAGATGCCATCTCCAAGTTCCTCCAGTACCATTCAACACAGCCTGCCGTCGTTTCAGTCTCCGACTTCCTCGTCTAATAACAACAGTAATCTTCCTCAACCATCTCAAAATGGGTTACCGTCCGTTAATCACAGGAGTGTTGGAAGCTCTCCTGCTATACAGCAGCAGCCGGGTCCTTCCCCGAGTGAGGCTGAAGCAAATAACTCTCAGAGCTCTGTTCAGAAGATCCTGCATGAAATAATGATGAATAACCAAATTCATAGTACAGGAGGCATGGTTGGTTCTGGATCTTATGTATATGACGGGAAGGCTGCTAATGGGGTATCTCCCGTGAATAACCCTGGAGTCCTCGGAGGGGGAAACGGCTTGGTGATGAATGGACCGGTGAATAGCATTGGAGGTGGAGTGGGTTTTGGCACAATGGGGGTTGGTGGGGGGAACGGGAACGGGAACGGGATCGGGATCAGAGCAGCGATGGCAAACAGTAATAATGGCAACACAGTCATGAACGCGAGGATGGGGATGATGGGAAGAGATCAAAACATGGGTCACCAGCAACAAGAAATGGGGAACCACCTCCTAGGAACCGTTAATGGTTTCAACAATTTTCAGTTTGATTGGAGCGGATGACATGGAAACAAAGCCGATAATGGAACTGAGGAGAGTGGTGATACACTAGAAATCAGGTGGGATTAACCATTGGTAAAGATACAACCTTGACCTCGCGTTGATGAAGACGACGATAATACATATATATATATATATAGTAATGGCTTTATGGCGTCTCTAGTGTATCCACCCTTTTTGTACTATCCCCATGAAAATAGACCACGACGTTAGCATAGAGAGTGTTTCCATCTTTGTTTTCTTTCGTCTTTTATTTATGTACAACTGCTTTGCTAATATGTTGATGAAATGGGTGTCTTTTGAGGGCAGAATTCTGCAAATCTCGCGTTGTATTTCGCACGTTCTATGCATTACAAACAAGTCCCATAATGTCTGAACTCAGCAGAAAGTGATTCACCATTGACATTTTTCACTCGGGGAAGAAGCTGATTCAGAAGGAGTAATCCTTCAAATCTGATTTGGAATCATCCATGTCCATCTCGGCCAGACACTCTTCGGCTGCAAGGGGAGGGAGTTTGCGTGTTTTCCGCTTCAGGTTGTGTTTGTGCCATTCGCTCTTACAGTGCTCCCTGTATTGTTTGGAATCTCCGACCAAAGCATTGCAAGTGTTGCACTTTGTCTGCTTCCCTTCTCCCTCCGGGTTTCTTCCACAACTACCCGTCGAGATGTTTTGCTTCTGCAATTTCTCGCTCAGTTGAAGAACGGGATCGATAGATCCCTTGTACTCGGTGGCGGATTGAGACTGAGATGATTCGGTGGAGGAGGACGTCTTCATGGTTTGCAATGGCATATCGTCGTGTTCATGATACTGATCCATACAGGCATCTCCCTCTGCATGCACTGATTCCGCGAGTATTTCGAGTCTGCCCTGCAAATTTCTCACGAGAGAATCACACTCGCGGAAAAGACCCGGATCCATCTCGCTTACCTGCACAGTTCATGCCATCACAATTAGAGGGGATTAATGGAACAAGAATGAAAGAGCATATGAAACATTGAATTCGGACCCAGATCTATAACATTCCACGAAACATGAAGAGAAAGTTTTACTTCGACAAAGATGGTAGAGGTAGATATGCTTACAGTGGACAACTGGGTTTCCGATTTGTCTTTGGAGACAATACAAGCATTCCATCCGTTAAGTTTCTCCAGGAGCGAGGAGCAGTTCTGTACAGGAACAGTTAGCTTCAATCTCATCGGAGAACGTTTTATCGGGAAATGCTGTTGCAGCTTGCGTATAACTTCAAGTGCCTGCATAACTCAACTACTTATCAGAGAAAAGATATTGAAATATGAAGATGAAGTCACTGGGTAGTAAAGTTGTCTAATTCTCCCACCTGTTTCTTGGAACTGCTATGAGGATCGACGGCAAAATGAATTTCGTGCATCAGGCGTTCAATCATGCTGATGGTGTAGGGCCGTTGAGTTTCAGGGTTGATGGTTTTCTGCATAACAATAGTTGCGATATCCCGAAACTGGCTTGAGAGCTGGGATTCCCTCTCTTTCCCAGCGACTTGAAGCTCTCCTTTCTCCAAAATCTACAGTTCGGGTATTAGTAAAAGATCCTTAAAACGTTTAGAGAAGCCAGAACTCGAAGATACACCGATACGACGAAAACAAACCATGACGACTCACCTCCAAGCATACTTTAGTCTGATCATCAGTCGCAAAGGCTGCAATCAAATCCTTCGTCTTGGCAAGAACTCCTTTCGAAACATTTGTATAGACTGTTTGCGATTGCAACACTTCGTCCAGGTCCTTCTCCCTGCAAGATTGAACATCGTTCTCGTATCTCACTGTCTCATCCTTACCCAAAAGTTCAAACATGTGGAGAGGCTTCTAGGGTGACACCGCGAGTTTCTTCATGAATAACTACAAGAAACCAAACCAGAGAGAGAGAGAGATCTTGCAGGCAGAATCTTTCTCTATTTCAGGCGCTAATCGTCACTCCCCATGAATGTAGCAAAACCCATGTTCTTTCTAGACATGCTACATAGTACTACATACGAGCCTTCCTATCAACTCACTCTACATCTCAGGCATCAGTGGCATATCCCCAAATCCGGAAGAAACACTCATGAACCGATTAACACCAGTAGCGGCAACACATACACAAAGCATAACGAACGCGATGGCAACCCAATCATCGGATTCAGAAAATAATTGGATTTATAAAAAATTGAAGCGGGACTCGAAAGCTTACACGCCGGACCGCCATGAAAGGACCTTGTTCTTATAGCACGCGATCTCGAAGCGGTTCCCTCGCTTCTTCAGCCGCACCACCGCCACGTTCGTAAGCCTCTTCTGCCCAATCGGCTGCCCCAACGTCTTCGACATCTCTCTCGCTCTCTCTCTCTCGAAGCTTCTGCAGAATTTGGGATTTTCCCTTCGACGCTGCAGCGATGAAAATGTATCTGAAGGCGTCTGGGAGAAGACGAAGGTGTGAAAACGCACCGTTTTATTTTGGTTTTGGGTTTTTACCTTTTGTCTTTTATAGTTTCTAGAAACTTTGATAGAATAATATTTTAGTTTTTAATTTTATATTTAAAATTATTAAAAAAGTTTTAATATTAAAATAAAAATTATATTTATTAATATCAGTAATAATAATAAAAATGACTATGATATATATTTTGAAAAATAAAATTTAAATTACATAATTTAAATTATAATTTTTTTTAAAAAAAGATATGAGTTAATATAAAAATGATAAAAAAATATTGTTTAATATAGATATAGATATAGTGTAAAATTATTTTTAAGACAATGAATATTTTTATTTTTAAAATAATTTATATAATTATTTTTTAATAAAAATAACAATATAATAATAAATCTCTAAAATTTATAAAAAAAATCTCTAAAATATATAAAAAAGTAGTTTTTAATTTTTAATAAATTAATCTACATGCAGAGCTAATTTTACGATTTTTTATTTATTATTTTTAGATTTTTTATTTTATATTTTATATTTTTTATATACAGTATCCTTTTGATTATACATATTAGAGAAAATTTACATAAATGTACCAAAAAAACATCTTTACATTTTATATTTCTACTATTGTAATCTTTGTATTCTACCGTCATACCCTTCTATATTATTATAACCTGTAGATTTCCTCCATTAATAAGAAAAGGGGTAATCGCCAAAAAAAACCCGATACTTTTTCTAGATCAACGAAAAAACCCTATATTTTTTATTATCAATTAAACCCTGTACTTGGTGTGATTAATCTATAAAACCCCATACTTTTTAAACATTCACCGAAAATCCCTGCGAATGTCAATTCAAGCAAAAATGATGATGTGGCATTGATATGGCATGAACACATCATCATAATTATATCACATCATCATTTCAAATAAAATTTAAATTAAATTATTTATTTAAATTAATATATATACATACAAATTTCTACATACATATATATATTAAAAATAAAATTATTTATAATTAATAAAATATATATACACATAACTACAATATATATGTATATTATAACTAATGTATATATATATTAAAATAAAAATAATTATAATTAATTTTATATATATACATAATATACATATTAAAATAAAATAATTATAAGTAACATACACACATATAATATATATTAAAATAATATATATATATATATTAGTCATACGTACAACATATATATATATATATATACACAACTAATATACATATTAAAATAAAAATAATTATAACTAACACACATATTTTTTTAATTAGTTATAAGTAATTTTATATTTAATATATATATGTATATATGAATTTGTATGTATATATGTTAATTTAATTTAAATTTTGTTTGAAATGATGATGTGATGATGTGTTCATGTCATGTCATTGCCACATCATCATTTTTGTTTGAGTTGGTATTCGCAGGGGATTTTCAGTAAATGTTTAAAAAGTACGGGGTTTTATGGATTAATCACACAAAATATAGGATTTAATTGGTAATAAAAAAAGTAGAGGGTTTTTTCGTTGACCTGTGAAAAGTACAGGGTTTTTTTGGTGATTACTCCTTAAAAAAACACTTGCATTAATTTCGTTTTTCTCCACATACATGAAAAAACACTTATATGAATTTTGTTTTCTTATATAAGTATAAAAAAACACTTGTATGGATTTCGTGAAAAAACACTTGTAGGTTAGCAGGTGCGACAGATGCCGTAGGTGACCTACCGCAAGCCGTAAGTGCCGAAGATGACCTGTCGCTGGCCACAAGTCATCTGCTAGACTGTAGTCATCTGCCGTAGGTTGTAGGTCATTTACCGCAGAGCGTAGGTCATTTTTCACAGATGGGGCAGGCCATCTTCTACAGTTTTTTTACAGACATTTCATCAAACACCTTATGTGCATACAAAAAATTGAACAGAATATCACAGACAAAGAAATCAACCAGAAGAATATTTGAATAGATTAGATAAACTGTAAGAAATAGAAGAGATAAAGAAAATATTGGAGAAAAATAAGATCAAATAGCAAAACGTTCTGATTTCTAAAAGATAAATTGTTACAAAAAAACACTTGCATGAATTTCGTTTTCCTCCACATGCATGAAAAAACACTTATATGGATTTTGTTTTCTTATATAAATATAGAAAAATACTTGCATGGGTTTCTGAAAAAACACTTGTAGGTTAGCAGGTCATCAGGCTGCATATCACAGGTGACATGCGCATGTCGCAAGTCACTTGTGACATGTCACAGGTAACCTGCCGCATGTCGCAGGTGACCTGCCATAGGCCACAAATCACATATTGGAATCCTGCCGCCGATTTTTGTTTCAGGAATTTCATCAAACACCTTGTGTGTAGAAAATAAAATGATCATATGAATACCACAGAAAAAAAAAATCAAACAGAAGAATATTTGATTAGATGAGATACACTGTAAGAAATAGAGAAAATAGAGAAAATATTAGAGAAAACAGAAGGACAAATCTCAAAACGCACTGATTTCTAAAATACAGATTATCACATAATCGTAGAGAAATATAGACGAGAATATTTGGTCCAACCAGCAAAAGGATCGAGAGAATAGGTAAATGGACATGGTCGTAGTTACCGTTAATTATCGGGTCGCTTTGCATTATGTTCAACGGTCATAGTTATCGTTAATTATCTAGTCGTATTTGAATTATGTTTATAGTATAATTACGGTCGTAATTATCTGATCGTAGTGAAATTACAGTCGTAGTTATCTGGTCGTAGTGGAATCACGGCCACAGGTGCGACAGGTGCCGTAGGTGACCTACCGCAAGTCGTAGGTGCGGAAGATGACTTTCCACGGGTCGTATGTCATCTGTCAGACCGTAAGTCATCTGTCGTAGGCTGTAGGTCATTTATCGCAGAGCGTAGGTCATTTTTTTACAGATGGCAGGTAATCTTCTACAGTTTTCTTTTACAGACATTTCATCAAACACCTTATGTGCATACAAAAAAATGGTCAAAATATCACAAAAAAAAATCAATCGGAATAGTATTTGAATAGATTAGATAAACTGTAAGAAATAGAGAAGATAAAGAAAATGTTGGAGAAAAAATAAGATCAAATAGCAAAACGTACCGATTTCTAAAAGATAGATTATCACAAAAAAAACATTTGCATGAATTTCGTTTTCCTCCACATATATGAAAAAACAATTATATGGATTTTGTTTTCTTATATAAGGATAGAAAAATACTTCCATGACTTTCGTGAAAAAACACTTGCAGGTTAGCAGGTGCGACATGTGCCATATGTGACCTACCGCAAGCCATAGGTGTCGAAGATGACCTGCCGCGGGCCACAGGTCATCTGCCATACTGTAAGTCATCTGTCGTAGGCTGTATGTCATTTACCGCAAAGCGTAGGTAATTTTTTACAGACGGCAAGTCATCTTCTACAGTTTTTTTACAGACATTTCATCAAACACCTTATGTGCATATAAAAAAAATTATCAGAATATCACAGACAAAGAAATCAACCAGAAGAGTATTTGAATAGATTAGATAAACTGTAAGAAATAGAGGAGATAAAGAAAATATTGGAGAAAAATAAGATCAAATAGCAAAACGTTCTGATTTCTAAAAGATAGATTGTTACAAAAAAACACTTGCATGAATTTCGTTTTCCTCCACATGCATGAAAAAACATTTATATGGATTTTGTTTTCTTATATAAGTATATAAAAATACTTGCATGAGTTTCGTGAAAAAACACTTGTAGGTTAGCAGGTTATCAGGCTGCATATCGCAAGTGACGTGCCACATGTCGCAAGTCACCTGTGACATGTCGTAGGTGACCTGCCGCATGTCGTAGGTGACCTGCCGTAGGCCGCAAATCACATATTGGAATCTTGCCGCCGTTTTCTGTTTCAGGAATTTCATCAAACACCTTATGTGTAGAAAATAAAATGATCATATGAATACCACAGAAAAAAAAATCAAACAGAAGAATATTTGATTAGATGAGATACACTGTAAGAAATAGAGAAAATAGAGAAAATATTAGAGAAAACAGAAGGACAAATCTCAAAACGCACTGATTTCTAAAATACAGATTATCACATAATCGTAGAGAAATATAGACGAGAATATTTGGTCCAACCAGCAAAAGGATCGAGAGAATAGGTAAATGGACATGGTCGTAGTTACCGTTAATTATCGGGTCGCTTTGCATTATGTTCAACGGTCATAGTTATCGTTAATTATCTAGTCGTATTTGAATTATGTTTATAGTATAATTACGGTCGTAATTATCTGATCGTAGTGAAATTACAGTCGTAGTTATCTGGTCGTAGTGGAATCACGGCCACAGGTGCGACAGGTGCCGTAGGTGACCTACTGCAAGCCGTAGGTGCTGAAGATGACTTGCTGTTGGTTTTCCTGGGATCTCTAGAGCGAATCCTATTCTAAGAGATCGATTCTAGGGTTTGCGCAGCGGATGTAAAACAAAAATTTATGGAACCTTAGAACCATGCTTCTTATGAATCTTAGAAACGTTAGAACGCTTACTTCAATCGATCCGGGGCCTGTATCAATTGAAGAACTCACCTGATCACGAAAGGGAGGAAGAATACCTCGCCCTCTACACGTATCCACACCTCGGGATGGATTCCAACGGTTGAAACTTGTCTGCTGGGACCCGAATCTGCTATTCGGTTTCGCGCTTCGAGAAAATCGAGACTTGGAACTTTTAGAACTCTTTGGATCTCACCCAAAAACTCTCAAGGTTCTCTACCAGACGGCTACTCAAGTCCCTTGCACGATTAGGGTTTTAATCTCCTTCTTATAAGGTGATTTAATCCTAATTCGGTCTAATTTTTGAAAACCCGAAAGCCGGAATGGACGGTCCAGAAATACACGTGGACCGTCCGTTCCAGCAAACCAGAACGGACGGTCTACACACGTGGACTGTCTGTTCCAGACAAGCCAGAACGGACGGTCTG